AGGGGAGGGGGGGCTGAATCATAATTCCCTGCGGCTGCACTTTTTGTATTTTCTCAAAAATGTTTTGGCCGCATTGACATGGAAAAAAGTCACCCGGACTAATTCAAAGTGGAGAGGTAGAATGAGGACTTCAGAGCAGCCCCATGCCAGGTCACCTCCCTGGGGGGGAGGGGAGGGGGTCGCTACCCACCACGCTCTGCTGGGCAGTACGAGGGCCACAGGGAGACTAAAAGCGCAGGACTTCAGGGCAGCACCCTGGGGGGGGACGCTACCCACAACCCTCTGCCGGGCAGTACGAGGGCCACAGGGAGACTATCTACAAGCAGGACTGTAGAACAGCACCCTGCCAGGTCACCTTCTCGGAGCAGCCGCTACTCACAACCCTCTGCTGGGCAGTATGAGGGCCACAGGGAGACTAAAAGCGCAGGACTTCAGGGCAGCACCCTGCCAGGTCACCTCTCTGGAGGGTCATTACCTACAATCCCCCGTTAGGCAAAAATGGGGCCACAGGGTGACTATTTGCAAGCAGGAGCACCACCATGCCAGGTCACCTTCCTCAAGCAGTCACTACCCACAATCCCCTGCTGGGCAGTATGAGGGCCACAGGGAGACTAAAAGTGCAGGACTTTAGTTCAGCACCCTGCCAGGCCACCTCCATGGAGCGTTTACTACCCACAACTCCCTGCTGGGCACAGCTCAGTACAGCTGAGGGGCCAGTGAAGTTTTTAGGAGTAATAATCAGATTTTTTGTAACTTTCATGCATTATTTAAAGTGCTTTTAAAGGCGATATTTTGTTTTACAGAAATATCGAATTGATGCATTTAGGGCAAAAATGATATCGGGAAAAAAAAAAAAAAAAAGAGGACCCCTGCTGTTAAAATTCTACTCCCTTCCCCCTCCAAAAGGTTTGTTTTATAAATTGCTTTTAAATCTCGGTATCATTCTGATCTTTCCAGCTGTGTCCTTGTGTCAGAGAGCCGGTACACTAACGCTGCTCTCCAGGGTACAAACATATACAATGTAGACAGCAGGGGCGGCAGTGAGTGCGGCGGCCATTGCTCAGGTCTGTGCATCAAGACGCTGACACACTGAACAGTGCAGAGAACCGTCTAAAGAAGAAGCGACGTCGCAAAAGATGCAGAAAAGAAAGCTCTTAACAGGAGATCAGGAAGACTGAATTTACTGCCCCCCCCTCCCATGGTCATTCAGTCTTTTTCTGTTTAATGAAGGGTAATCGCTGTCAAAGGCCTATGTAATGATCTTCCTTGTTCACAGTGCTTCCATACAACAACCTTGGCACCCACTGTTGTTGAGGATAAAGATATTCCGCTCAGCAGAGCTCCCCCTTTTGGCAGTGTACTAATATTGCACTTTGTAAGGGACCAGGGCAGTGACATGTGATGGCAGTTACATGAGCATGCGAGCAGCAGACAATGCTTATTTCCAGACACACGATATGAAACAAAAAAGATTAGATATATATACATACATACATATACATATATAGATATATATATATATTCCCATCAGGTAGCTTAAAGTTTAACTCCACTTTTGCTGAGACACAAATCCCTCCATACATATTGTATAGATGGTAATAAAGTTTACTTTTACTGGGCAGTCTCACCTGCTCCCATTTGTACTAAAGCTCACACATGGATTATACCCACTTCCTGCCGCCCAAAAAAATAAAAATCACAGCTGGCAGTTTATTAACAAAAATGCAAAAGAACAAAAAAAAAATTCACACAAATAAAACAATAAGAAGAAAAAAAAATAA